CCGCCATCTTGCCCCGCCTCTACACAGACATCTCTAAATGAATAAACATTCCAGCTTTGATCTAAACTCTCAATCAAAAAATGTTGGGGTGGGGAGGGAGGTACACTACATTTTTCAAAGGTAATTTAGAAATTTTTTCTAAAACATTCAATTCCTAGGAAATCGCAGCACCAAAACTGTAGGGAGTTATATTTTTCCCAAAAATTCTTATAGTTACCTATATAAACTTCCTACACTGAGGTGTTTTCTTATGCCATGTGGCTGTTGGCACTGAAGCAACTCACCCAGTTTGCCATTGCTTAGCCTCTTCTGTTCCACGTGGCCTTTAAGTGCTCTTACTTTCTTTAGCTTAGTTTCCTGATTCTCAGCTATTTCTTTCAGCCTCTTAAGCTTCTCCTGCTCAGCTGCTTGTTGCTGTTGACGCTGATCTTGCTGTTTCAAAAACTTTAAGCGCTGTTCCTGAAGATGAAAGCAATTGTCAGGTATATAATTTTTGACAGGTATACCATTAACCCAAAAGTAACCTACTCATACCCTTAGATGCTGAGATTGAAATGTACACAACACTTTTTTCTGGTCTCACTATCTGTCCTGTATACTGCCATCAGAATTGCCTGGGAGATTTCTTCAAAACAGATACTCCTGAGCACAGTCTTAGACTTAACAAATCAAAATCTCTAGAAGGGGAAGATCTAGGAATTATTATTTTTAACCCAAGTGGTCTTATGCAGCAAGCACATTTTGAGCTAGTTTTCATGAAAGGTTGTTAGAATGTTAAGAAGGAATGCATGTAAAGATGGGAGGCAGTATAAGAAAGTGGATAAATTTAGCCTTTACAGTGAAATCTGGATTCAAATCCAAGCTCTGTCACTTATTAGCTATAAGAATGTAGACAAATTACAGAACCCTACTCTGGTAGCATAGTGCCTAAGGCACTTGACTGCTAACCAGAAGGCTGGCGGTTCAAATCCACCAACCACTCCTCAGAAGGAAGATGGGGCAATCTATTTCCATAGTGATACTGCCTCAGAAACCCAAGCAGGGGTCGCTATGAGTTAGGTCCGATTTGACGGCACATAACAACAACAACAACTTATAATAGCACCCTCCAGGGTCTAGCCGAAGTCCACAAAAGGTCTCAAAACAAAAATATTCACAATGAACTCCCATCCATACTTTGTTACAAGTATTTAAGCGAAAAGCAGATACACACGTACAAGATGTGCTTGCTGCATAAAACCACTTGGGTTAAAAATAATAATTCCTACTTATAGTAGGGTTCTGTAATTTGTCTACATTCTCATAGCTAATAAGTGACAGAGCTTGGATAGGAGCTTCGGTAGCGTAGTGCCTAAGGCACTTGACTACTAACCAGAAGGCTGGTGGTTCAAATCCACTAGCCACTCCTCGGAAGGAAGGTTGGGCATTCCACTTCCATAGTAATACCACCTCGGAAACCCAAGGAGGGGTTGCTATGAGTTGCGTCTGACTTCATGGCACATAGCAGCAACAAAAAATATCAGTATATGTTACGGATTAAATTATGATCCCTACAAACATGTGCTATAAATCCCAACCTCTATGCTTGTGGATATAATCCCATTTGGGAATGAGTAGTCTGTGTTATGTTAAGGAAACATGATTACTGTAAGGTACATCTTTTGAGATATAAAAGAGATTAAACACAAGTAAGCAAGCAAGCAAGCAGAGATGGGGGAAGAGAGCTGGCACCTAACATTACCCAGGAGCAAAAACTCACAGGCATGGACCTTCTTCCAGAGCCAAGAGAGACAAAGCCTTCTCCTAGAGCCAAAACCCTGAATTCAGACTTCTAGCCTCCTAAAAACTGTGGTAAGACTTCTTCTGTAAGATGCAGGAATAGGTAGACAAGTGACACAGACCCTCTTCAACAAAGAAAAGAAAAATCAATTGACAGATATACAGAAGATAATCCTGGAACCCTGAGCTTTGAAAGGAACTATACAGAAATGGATTAGGCACCAACTAGTGGAAAACCCTGAACAAAAACAGTGAGTATAGAGATGGTCGGAGCTGTGGACTGTCAGCTACTCTGATGGGACCAGTAGCCTGAATATTTCCAAGTGGTGTTGGGAGCTGAGAACTGACCTAAAGATCAGCCCTTGTCACCAAGGGCTGCAAGGACGACTGTGCTGGTAACCTATAACTAGGGAGGGAAACAGCAAGGAGGGAGACAACCTCAGCTGTTGACCTTCCGCTGTCCACAGGGTGCAGCCTTTTTATTATTCACACGTGGCAGCCATTTTGGATATTTACAAGTGGCAACCATTTTGGATTTTAAGGTGATAGCATTCTCATTTGGATTCCAGGGATGTAAGAATAGGCTCCGTTTGCCAAGGATAGCAGGATAGCAGGGACATACAAGAGGCTGACAACAGGAAAGGAGACAGGTGGTGAGTGTTTAAGTGCTGTCAAGTAGTGAATAGAGGAGCATAGCACAGTACTCTGCCTGTGTAGATAACACACAAACAAAACAAAGAAAACAAAAATCGTAGGCAAGTCACTCCAACATATAATCACCAATTAAGTATAAACACAAAAATGTCACAATGCCTCAGAGACAAAAGAGCATCACAGTCCACACAAAGAAGCAAAATAAAGGAGGAGAAACAAGGGACCAGAATACAAACCCAAAACATATCCCTGAGGATGCAGCAATGGAACCCCCTGATAAGGAATTCAAAAGAATTGTATTTAGGTATCTTCAATCAATTGAGAGACAGTCAAGGAAAACACTGACAAAATTGAGGAAAACACAGGTAAAACCCTAAAACAATTTCAAAAGACCACACACAAGAACAAAATGAAAAATAAAAGAAAAATTAGAAATGATACAAAATCCATAGACAGAAATCTTGAAGAGTAATGCTAAATTTTCAGAAATAGATAAGACATTGAACAGGCAAAGGAGCAGAATTGAATCAATGGAAGACAGAATTAGGGAGATTGAAGGCAAATACCAGAACAATTCTTTGGAAAGGGATAAATCAGAAAAAAGACCAAAACAAAACGAAGAAAGCCTAACGGTCATGTGAGATACCATCAAAAGGAATAACCTACATGTAATCGGAATTCTAAAACAAGGAGAGACAAATAAAACCACTGAGAAAACTGTCCAAGATTTACTGGAAGAGAATTTTCCTGGTATGATGAAAGATGAGAATATATCCATTCAGGAGGTCCAACGAACCCCAAAAAGGATAGACCCCAAAAGAAAATCACCAAGACATATCATCATCAAACTCACCAAAACCAACCAAAGACAAAGAAAGAATCATGACAGAAGCATGGGAAAAACTAAAAGAAACCTGCAAGGGGCAACCAATAACACTAAGCTCCCATTTCTCAACAGAAATCATGCAGGCAATATGGCATATATTAAACAATAAAAGAGAAAAATTTCCAACTAAGAATTATGTACCCAGCAAAACTGTCCCTCAAATATGATGGTGAAATTAGGACATTTCCAGATAAGCAGAAATTAAGGGAATTTATTAAAACCAGACCAACCTTACAAGAGATGCTAAAGGGAGCACTTTGGACAAAGAAGCAGCAACAGCAAACAACAACTGACCATTAACATACATGATGATATAACCCAGAAACCAACTCAGCTATGGAAGTATCCAAAGTAAAGAAGCCTACAAGATTGTAAATAGGTAACCAGAGACATCAACTGACCAATGAGAACAACTGCAAACCAAAAAGACGGAAAAAATTGTGTCATTACAGAACTTCTAGATGGTAGGGAGGAGCTCTGGTAGCATAGTGCCTAAGGCACTTGACTGCTAACCAGAAGGCTGGCAGTTCAAACCCACCAGCCACTCCTTGGAAGGAAGATGGGGCAATCTATTTCCGTAGTGATACTGCGTTGGAAACCCAAGGAGGGGTCGCTAGGAGTTGGGTCTGACTCAACGGCACACAACAACAACAGATGGTAGGGACATTATGACAACTACAAGATAGAATGGGCTGTTCTAAACTTGGGAAGAAAACTATAAATCATAAGGTAACCTCAAAGGGAAATAATAAACCTTCACATCAAAATAAAAAAGAGGACCAGTATAAATATTCAGCAAATACTAAAACAATAGCAATGAAGGAAGTAATAACATGATTCAAAAACAAAATGAGCTCAGCATAGAAAATTATATGGAACAAAGAAATCAACACCATGAAAAAGCATATAACAAAAATGATAGCAACAAATTCATATTTGCCAATAATTACATATCTGGCAAAGGACTTATCTCTAAGATTTATAGAAAACTCCAATGCCTCAACAGCAAAGGAATTAACAATCCAACTGAAAAATGGGCAAAAGACATGAATAGACACTTCACCGAGGAGGATATTCAGGTGGACAGCTAATACATGAAGAGATGCTCACAATCATTGGCCATCAGAGAGATGCAAATCAAAACAACAATGAGATACCGTCTCAACCCAGCACTGATGGCAAGGTTCAACGAGACAGAAAATAACAAATACTGGCAGGGATGTGGAGAAATTGGAACTTTCATACAGTGCTGGTGGGACTGTGAAATGATACAACCACTGTGGAAAGCAATATGGTGATTCCTTAGAAAGCTGGAATTGGAGACACCATTTGACCCAGCCATCCCATTACTAGGTATATATTCTAGAGAGGTGAGAGCCAGGACAAGAACTGATATATGCACACCCATGGTCATCGCAGCACTATTTACAACAGCAAAAAGATGGAAACAACCTAGGTGCCCATCAATGGAAGAGTGGATGACCACATACACAAAATGGAATGCTATGCAGCACTGAAGAATAATGTAGAGTTTGCAAAACATCGCATAATATGGATGAACTTGGAGGACATTATGCTGAAGGAAATAAGTCAATCATAGAAGGACAAATATAGTATTAGTTCGTTGCTGTGGAGGGTCAAGGAAAGGTTTATATATGGAGGGAAACTTTCTTTGTTGGTTGCCAGGGGTGGCAGGGGAGGGGAGGGAATACTGCAAAAAAAAAGCATTGACCCATGTCACTTTAGTTGTGTGTATTTTACCGTACATAATTATATTTCAATAAAATGCATTAAAAAAAAAGAACTGTGATAAAATAAATATGCTTATGAAAGCACCCATTTATGGTATGTCTTTTATAGCAACACCAGATACGTAAGAGAATTATGTTTCTTCACCTATAAAATCAGGATTCTAGAAAAGTACATACCTCGTAAGGCTATAAACAACAACAACACACACACACACACAAAAACACTGCCATCAAGTCAATTCCAACTCAGGGTAACCCCTATTGGACTTCCAAGGCAATAAATTGTTATGGAAGTAGATTGCCCCATCTTCCTTCTGCAGAGTGCTGGTCAGTTTGAACCAACAACCTTCTGGTTAGCAGTCAAATGTCTTAGGCATTGCACCACCAGAGCTCCTTCGTAAGGCTATACTCTCACTGCCACTGGGTCGGATCTGACCCACAGTGACCCCTCCTTGGGTTTCCGAGGCGGCGTCACTATGGAAGTAGATTGCCCAACCTTCCTTCCAAGGAGTGGCTGGTGGGTTTGAATCACCAGCCTTCTGGTTAGCAGTCAAATGCCTTAGGTACTATGCCACCAGAGCTCCTTCATAAGGCTGTAATTGTAATTAAATGAAGTATGAAATACAAAGCTGTTTAAACAGTAACTTATATATACTCAATAAGTAGCAAATGAAAAGCACTGAAAAATGCCTCAACATCTTCAGAGGACTACGATTATGCAATTTAAAATATTTTATTATATTAAAAATTTTAATTAAAACAGTAACAGAGTCATGCTATTTATAATCAAAGATATTTCTTCTCAGAATAATGATTAAAATATACAAATAATGCAGAAATAATTTCAAATTAAGAACCCCAAGGTTAGAGACTTATTCTGCAACAATCAACCTGTTCATTTGAACACGCATCCTTACTTGTCAACATAAGGACCATCGGCATCACCTGGAAGCTTGTTAGAAATGCAGAAACTCAGACCCCATCCCATCTTATATTTTCCTTGTTCAAAGCCAGGATCAGGATTACTTTTTGAGTGGAGAACGTCTCCAAATAAAGACAAAGCAGCCTGTTACTGGTGCCAAACAGCAGAAGAGGCTAGTGTTGGCACTAGTAAACTTGAAAGTTCCTCTTGCTGTAGTAATGATTCAGGTCAAAATTAGCCCAAACTAGTTCCTAGCAGGAAAACTGAAGGGTTTTTTATGTCTTTCCTGTTTTGCTGATACCCAACACAGCATGGTTAATCTTCATCAGAATCAGGAGTCAGGAAGATCATGACCAACTGGAGTGATTTAAGGTTTTCATACTTCACACAGAAATTTCCACAAAATGCAAGGGCAAGGGGAGGAAAGTACCATATCACAGGGGACTTTGGGTTCATAATACCAACTCTTATCTGTGAGCTAAACGGCTTGTAAATGAGGATGGAATGTAAGCAGCTTTACATACATTATCAGTAGTGGCCTATTAGTTCTTTCAAAATAAGACATTACCTTGGTAGCCAACATTTGTTGCTGTGCCTCAATCTGTTGTTGCTGGCGAGATGCCATTTCCTGAAGTTCAGCAAGAGTCAGATCCATCCTAGGACTATTAACCTACAAGCAAAAGCACAAGCAAATAATCTTAATACAACTTATTCTAAAATGATCACAGAGATTCTTCCCTCAAAGATCTATTTATAAATTCCATTTGAACCATGAGAAAAGTAGCCATTTTTTCAATAATATTAAATACATTATTAATTTTTATATATTAATATCTACCTCATTCCAAAGATAACGAAGACACTTAATAAGTTAAGGTATAAAACATATTAATATATGAACCAACAACCTTTATTTTTCATTTTCTCATTGTGAAAAACAATCTTTTATTTTGTTAATTTAAAATTAAATAATTTCAACAGTTCGAGATACAAACAGAACAATTTAGAATTATTGTATTTTGTAGTTCATCCATATTAGGATAATAGTGTTTGATGAGAATATGGTCATCAGAACATCAATTAAAAATATGATAGTAGCATAAATTCAAGATACATTGTGTCATCAGAAACAAAGTCAAGATAGTCTACAATTCTATTCAACATTATCCTAGAGGTTTTAGCCAGTGCAATATAGCAAGAAAAAGAAACAAATAGCATCGAGATTGAAAAGAAAGGATGAACTGCCTTTATTTATAAACACCATATCATCTATTAAAAAGATCCTATGGAATCTACAAAAATAGCTACCAATATTAAAAAGGTAGTGTACTAAGATTGCAGGATAAAAGATGAATACATAAAAATCAATTTCTATATATTAGTAACAATCAAAATTAAAATTTAAAAAGAAAACTAAACTTTTTATAATAGCATCAAAAATATGAAATCCTCAGGCACAACTTTTTATTATTATTTTTTATCGTGATTTGGGTCAAAGTTTACAGAGCAAATTCACTTTCCATACAACAGCTCACATACACTTTGTCTCATGACATTGACTACAATCTCCCACAATGCAACAGCTCCCCTCTTCACTTCCTTCCCATAGTTACCTCTTTCCTGTGTTCTTCCCTCCCATGCGCTTCTGCCCCCCACCCCCAGCTGTCTCCCTGTGCATACACAGCCCTCTATTCTCTCATGATTCATCTCTCCAAGGAGTTTATCTACCTAATGTAAATGTTCAGCTTATATGGCTGTCTTTTGTTTGGCTGGAAGCCACAGGAGTGGGTTCAATTCCAGACCTGAAGGGCAGCTAGGGGCCATAGTTTCAGGGATTCCACCAAGCTCTACCAGACCAGCAAACCTGGTCCCCCCTTTTTTTTTTTTAAATGATTGAGTTTTGTTCCACATTGTTCACCCACTCTATCCAGGATTTCCTACAGAGATCCCCCTGTGAGTGGTTGACAGTGGTAGTCACGCACCGTCTAGTTCTTCTGGTCTCATAGTCGTATAGGCTGAGGATCACATGGTGGACCAGTCCCGTATACTAATTGCTTCCATGCATGTTTGGTTTGCTTCATTCTTCTTTGCTATGGACAAGGAGAGACCCATTGTTTCATCTAGATGGCTGCTTGCAAGCTTTTAAGATCCCAGTCGCTACTTGCCAAAGTAGGAGGTGGAACAATGTTTTATGTAGTATGTTATGCCAATTGAGCTTGATGTCTACTGCAACCAAGGTCCTGAGCCCACAGGTCCAACTACTCACTTCCTCTGGGTAGCTGGCTGTGGCCAAGGAGTGACTACAACCTCGTCCCTTGTTAGCTCATTTATATACCTGGGAATTCTTACAGAATATACCAATACACTTGTAGAAACATTGTCTGCCAACCTATATATGGTCTTGAGCACACTCCCCACTGCCCAGACATACCTAATAGTTCAGCCTGTCCACCCATCTCTGTAGATCAATGTTTGCCTTCACGGACAATGCTGTATTGTATATGCAAAAGGGTTCACCTTTATTCTCTGTACCTCCCAAGCACCTCTTTATGTCTTCTTCTTCCTCAATGCCACCATGCTGATCACTCACATTATGTACACTGCCCTTATCTTCACCCAAATCAATACCTGTCTCTACCTATCAACAGTGTCCCTTCTCCTCCCCTCACATCCCTGGTAACCAACAAAGAAAATTTCCTTCCATATATAAACCTTTCCTTGACTTTTTACAATAATGTACTAATCCAATATTTGTCCTTCTGTGACAAACTTATTTCACTCAATACAATATCCTCCAAGTTCATCCACATTATGCAGTTTTTTGCAGATTCTACATTATTCTTTAGGGTTGCATAATATTTTATTGTGTGTATGTACCACGGTTTGGTTATCCATTCTTCTGTTGACGGGCAACTACGCTGTTTCCATCTTTTGGCTATTGTAAACAGTGCTGCAATGAACATGAGTGTGCATATGTCTGGTCTTCTTCTGGCTCTCACTTCTTCAGGATATACACCTAGTAATGGAGTGGCTCTGGGTCAAATGGTATTTCTAATTCCGACTTTTTAAGGAATCACCATACTGCTTTCCACAGTGGTTATATCATTTGACAGTCCCACCAGCAGCCTATGAGAGTCCCAATCTCTCCATATCCTCACCAGCATCTGTTATTTTCTGTTTTGTTGAACTTTGCCACTAGTGTTGGGGCCAGATGGTATCTTGTTGTTGTTCTGATTTGCATCTCTCTAATGGCTAATGATTGTCAGCATTTCTTCTTCATATGTTTGTTAGCTGACTGAATATCCTCTTTGGTGAAGCGTCTATTCATGTCTTCTGCCCATTTTTTTGTGTGTGTTTTAAAATTTTATTGTGTTTTGGTGAAAGTTTACACAGCAAATTAGTTTCCCATGCAAAAATTTATACACAGATTGTTCTGTAACATTCGTTGCTAACCTCACAGTGTGGCAGCACTCTGTCCAGTTCCACCCTGTCTTCCTTGTTTCCATCCCTCTAGTTTCCCTGCCCCTCTCTGCCTTTTCTTTTCTTCTTTGCTTTTGGGCTAAGTGTTGCCCATTTTGTCTAGTACAGTTGATTGTTCTTTTTATTTTCAATTGTGATTTGGGTGAAAATTTACAGAGCAGATTCACTTTCCATACAGCAGTTCACATACACTTTGTCTCATGACATTGACTACAATCTCCCACAATGCAAGAGCTCCTTCCTCCCACTTCCTCCCAATTCTCACCTCTTCCCTATGTCCATCCCTCCATGCACTCCTGTCCTCTGAGCTGTCTCCCTGTGCATAAGCAGCCCCTCTTTCTTCCATGATTGTACTGTTCAAGGAGTGTATCTACCTCAGGTAAATGTTTAACTCATATGCCTGTCTTTTGTTTGGCTGGAAGCCACAGATGTGGGTTCAATTCCAGACCTGAAGGGCAGCTAGGGGCCATAGTCTCAGTGGTTCCACCAGGCTCTATCAGACC